AGGCACATTGCGTCCAGCAGGATTTTGAAAATGCTTGACAAGAGCTTGGAGAGCAGTTCGGATTATATAAATAGATCTGGTGCCATCTGCATAGAAGCGATTGTTGAAGTCATGTGAGTGGATGAGTTCAACAAGAGAGAATGTGTAGAAAGTGAAGAAGGCCCAGGATAAAGCATTTGGGAAGCAGTAATAACCAAGCCCTGGCAGATGTAAGTATCTAATTGCACTGTTCTGAGTTCTCAGTGGACTTTTCAGAGACAAAAAGAGTGCTCAATGGGGAGAAGACAATGGTCTTAGTGTCTGGATACAAAACTGATTGTTGATGTCTGGGAAGTGCTTATGAGTGGGAGGAAGAATGACAGGATTTATGGCAACAGAACCAAACAACTTATTCTAAAGTTAAGGAAATGGAATCCTAGAGGAATTAAATTATTGGTGCAGGGACTGACTGAGTTCCCTATTCAACTTGGTGAGTTTGAAGGGCATCGAGCCTTTAGTTGTGGCTTTGATTGTGTCTCATCAATTGAGAATGAGTTGATTGGCTTGGGCTGTTATGGATCAACAATTCTGGATAATAGCTTGGTTCTAGGACTGTTGTGGGTCTAAACAACTCCTTTGTGCTGGCCTATAAAATAGGGAACTGTTGCAAAGTCAGCCTTTTTGCCCTTCATTCCCCTTTTGGAAGTTAAGTCAGAGGTCCATGGAATGAAGAGTTTACCTTGATTGGGGGGAGGGGAGCAGGCAAAGGTGTCCCACCACAAGAGCCAATGACGGCAGCCTTGACACTCATGGAAGTTGCATGTGCTCTCACCCAAATGATCCGACTGTTATTACTAGACTCTGAATTCTGCAACCTAGATTTGGGCGGGGGGGGGGTGGGAGGGAAAGAGAGAGACAGAGACAGAGAGAGACAGAGACAGAGAGAGACAGAGAGAGAGACAGAGAGAGAGACAGAGAGAGGTGCATTACTAGACAGTATCTATTTGGGGAATGTCTTCATAGCAACCCTGAGTTTGTTCATTCCCAGACACAGCCTTCTAGAGAGAAGAGGAATTCTTGAGTAGAGAGAGCTTCTTAGGGAAAAGAAAAATCACTCACTAGCATGGCCCCAAGAGGCAGAAGAACAAAAAGGGACTGACCAATGTTAGAGAGTGGGAGGGAGAGCAAATGACATGAACTTTGGTCCTCTGTTTTTACCATAAGCTCTTCAGATAGTATAGTTCTAATGGGAAGGGGGATGGTTCTCCAACAAAGCCAAGTGAATTTGCCTTCTAGGGGCAGTTCAAGCCTTCAGGATTGAACAATAAGGTTTTTCACTTGTGTTGTTCCCTTGGATAAAATTGGGACTCACCAGAATGTTAATGGGTTGACTGTCTAGTGTCTTCAAGTTTGTTTCCCTGTTGAGGATAGTTCAGACCCCAGGGTGGTGCTATAAACCTAGGGATTCTAGGGAAGGTGGCTCTCACCAGAAAGGGGAAAAAATATAAAAGTATGTTAATTGTTTATGAGCTACTGAGTCAGTCCTGGACCTTATGAAAATCACTTTAGTGGTTAAATGGAAGATGAATTGGAGTAGAACCTCGAGGCAGGCAGAACCCCCTCCCCAGCAGCTATGAAAATAGTCCAAATGTGAGATGATGAGGGCCTGCACCAGGGTAGGGGCAGTGTCAGAGGATAGAAGAGGACATATGCAAGAGATTCTGTGGAGGTGAAATCAACAACCCTTGGCACCACATTGGACACTGAGGAGTCAAGGATGATTCCTAGGTTGGGAGGCTGAGGGATTGGGGGGGGGGTGTTCAGCATACTTTGCTATTTGAGATTATATATTCAATTCAATTCAACATTTCTTGAGTATCTGCTGTGTACAAAGAACATAGAAGACAGCCACGAACCTGATAATTTCAGCTCATTTCATGGTCGTGTCAGATGACAAAATACTAAACCCAAGTAAATAAAACTAAGACCCTTGCACAAGGAATTTCTCATATAAAATCACTGAAGGCAATTGATATGGCTACATGCTTAACTTTAAGCTTGGTATACAATCTCATTCAGATTTAATACCTTGCCTCAGTACTTTTTGATGCTGCCTTTGAAAAAATCTTTTTTTTTCTCTTTTTAGTATAGACTTTTAAAAAACCCTTGACTGTGGGGGCAGATAGGGGGTGCAGAGCACTGGCCCTGGAGTCAGGAGGACTTGAGTTCAAGCCTCAGACACTTGACACTAGCTGTGTGACCCTGGGCAAGTCACTGAACCCCAATTGCCTAAAAAAGTCCTTGACTGGTAACTTAATAAAACAGGACATGGCATCTCCCACAATGTAAAAGCAGATTACAATGCATCTTTTTTTCAATTATGTTTCCTCACATATAATGTGGCTGATTCCAGGGACATAACAGGTGTCTCTTTTATGGATTTATTGACAATTGCTCAGAACAGCTTCATCCTCACTGGCTTCTTTTCAGCAATGAACTGGAGATCAATTTGGGTCTAGTGCAGATGATTACTGTGGCCATTGGATTGACTTACCTGGGAAGCTTGTCAGCTTCCTTGAGCTGTGAAATTATTCCTGAGGGTCGTTGTTGCAAATGGGCTGCACAACTAGGGGTCCTGTAGCAGTCTCACATAAGCTAGTGAATCTCACACAGCCCCTTTAAGATTACCATTATTCAACCTGTCTCATGCCATTAAGATGTAGTCAAACAGAGATTTCTCTCTACCATACCTTCTTCTTTACAACTGGACAATAAAAGAGGGCTCATTAGTTGTGACTTTTTTCAGTTGTTTGCAAAACTATTATTATTCATGAGTCAAAAGATCAGAGAGTCATAGATGTTTTAGCTCCAGCTCAAATAGCTGTGATACTATGATCCTAACGTGTCTTGGAATTTGTAGGGTAACAAATATATTTAATGAAAGAAGGAAGTGGTAGAGTGGTTGACATGAAATGAACAAGCTCTTTTTATTGTATCCAAAATATCACTGGCTAATCAAGGGACCTATAATCATTTTAACATCATTTTCATCATTGCCATCACTGGCATAATTATGTTTGGAGCTTACTCTAAGAAGTGTGACTTTAAGCAAGTCACTTGAACTCCTTGGGGCTTCAGGTTCTTACTCCATATGGTGAGAAGGTTGGACTAGATACCCTCTGAGGTCGCTTCCAGCTCTAAATATGTGAAGCTAGGAAACCATTCTTGGCTCCACTGACCTTTCCTCTGATTGTCTTGTAATTTCTCTAACAATTACAAGGTCTCTGTCCTTGGCAGATATTCATGCAGTGCCCCTCCTCCAATTTTAGTATTTTTAGTGGTTTTAGAGGAGTCTTTTAACAGCCAATAAGAAAATAACTATTTTTAAGATTCTCAACTCCACACAAGCCATTTCTTTGTTGATACAGTAGTTGGAACAGCCTGCCACTCTACCTGCCAACAGGAAATCAACAACCCATCAGGGGATTTTGAGATGGAGGCATTAACACCTCCTAGCTCCTTGCCATGTATGGGGTTTTGTCCATGTACATGATTACAGAATGTCAGAGACAGAAGGAACTTAGAGTTTGCATTGTGTTGCATTGCATTGGATTGGTATGGATTGGGTGAGGGATGATGCAGAGGACAGATAGTAAATAAGCTTGCTTGGCAAACCTGTCACACTCTATCCCTTCCTTACTTCAAAACTCTGATGACAGCTCAGCTCTTCCATCACCAGTCTATGATCCTGTTCACACTTTCCATCTAGTTCATCATAGTGAACATAGCAGAACACCAGCCGGTCTTAGAAAGCCCATCAAGGAAAATGGTTTGCTCATGAAATAATAGTATTCTCTTGCCCTCCCTGGCATCAGTATCATGTTTGAAGCTGTCAAGAGTAATGAGTAGCATTTAACATTAACCCAAGGAACACAGTGAGCTCAGGCTGAACATATTATACCAAGAAGACAAAGCCGTCAGTGAATAAAGTGAGTGAAGTGACTGACTTTGGCAGGATCTGAGAGGAAGGAGAAAGGGTGATTGGCCTTTCCTTTTCACATGGTATTACTCATCACCAGTTCCTTGGGCAATCAAGTTCTATGAGCCCTTTGATCAAGAATGGAAGGACAGCTACTGGTGTTAACAAATGCCTCCAGATGAAAAATGCTGAGGTTACACAAATATTTGGGAGAGAATTATGTCTGCTGATAGATTGAAAGATAGGAGAAAGAAGCTGATTTGCAGTGTTGGCTGGGATCTCATCCTGAAGAACCTTGCAAAAAATGAGTTGCCAGTTTGACATCTGTAATCGCATTCTCTGAAGCACAGCTCAACAGCCCATCAGAAGCTGTTGCTGGGTGGGGGCCATCAAACAATATATCTGTATGTCCTAAGCTGCTGGGATGCCAATGGAGAGCCTGCTAGGGACAGCTGTATATTGACAGTGAATACACTCAAGGCAACCTATTGGATTGGTATATAGATTCCTTGGTGTTTCTGTAGCTTCCTTAACTCTCCCTTTTATCAGAGTGACTGATGACATTCCCATTTCCATGTGGAAGCCACTTAAATTTCGTTCTGATTACAAATCTTATGGATGGGGAAGAGAATGAAAGCCATATTATTATGGAATTTGGAGTGTGAATTAGGGGGCTGGATGGGTCTTGTCAAGACCTATGATTTCATCAGTCAAAAGAACATCCAGCATGGACTTTGGACAAGTCATTGGAATGAAGGATTTAGGAAAGTATATTATCTTATCTTATATTATCACTTTACTCAGAAACCAGTGATCTTTCCACTGTACCACACTCTCAATCTCTCTGAGCCTCAATTTCTTACTCTGTAAATCGAGGATGGTGATAGTTCCTACCTCACAACATTGTCATGAGGATAAAGTGAAATAATGTGTGTAAATGACTTTAAATCTTAAAGTCATGTTAATGTGCACTATTATTGAAATACCCTTCTAGACTTCCCACCATGCTAGCTTCTTACTCATCCTTCCTTGTTCCTTGCAGATTATTGGAACCATCCCTCTGATGCCTAATCCAGTGCCATCCAGCCAAGCTGCAGGAGGAGCACAGGGCCTCCAGGTGCAGCCAATCACCCCCCAGCTATTGACGAATGCACAGGGTCAGATCATTGCCACAGTCATCGGGAATCAAATCCTGCCTGTGATTAACACCCAAGGAATCACGCTGTCCCCAATAAAGCCAGGCCAACAGGTAAATAATCTATTAAACAAAATGTGAATGATTCCTGTACCTTTTGAACATAGAGACACCTTGGGTTTGTTGTGTGATGCCTTTCCTTTACTTTTACTTGGTTTCAGTCAATCAAAGGTATTTTTAAATTACAGAACAATCATCAGTACCATTGCCTATCATTAGAAAAATCAAGTACTCTCACTTTCTCCTGAAGACAAGTGTATGTGCACACAATAGTGTGTGTGTGTGTGTGTGTGTGTGAGTGAGAGAGAGAGAGAGACAGAGACAGAGAGACAGAGACAGAGGGACAGAAATAGAAAGATGGGGAGAAGAAAAGTGGAAAGAGAGGGAAGGGAGAGAAGGGAGAAGAGAGAGAATGAGGGAAAGAGACAGAGAGTTTCTGTGAGATAGAAAGATGAATTTTATAAGACATCGACAGGGACAATGGCTTAGACCTTAGGATTTAACATGCCAGAATAAGGAGTAAGATCCCATCTGCAGTCTTGTATTCAGTTCTGGGCACCACAGTGTAGGAAGGACTTGGGTTATCTGGGTAGCATCCAAAGGAAGGTAGTCAAGGGCCAAGAGCCCCTGAGCCTATGTCATATGAAGATCAGTAGAAAGAACTGGTGGTGTTTCATCTGAAGAAGACAAGACTCCATGGGCCAGGGAGGGGGATATCAGAGCTATCTTCAAGTGTCCGTAGGGCTACCACTTGGAAAAGGGATTCATTTTGCTCTAGGCCCTGGAGGACAAGAAGCAATGGAGAATGGGGGGAGGAAGTCACAGAGGACTGATGTCAAGAAAAGTTTCCTAACAATTAGAACTTCCTGAAAGTGGAGTGGGCTTCCTTGGAAGGAAATGGCTTCCAATCTTAGGTCTTCAAGCAAAAACCATGTAACATCTCATCAAGTGTGTTGTGGGCACCTGGACAGCAAAGTGGATAGCATACTGAATGTGGAATCAGGAAGATCTGAGATCAAATCCAGCCACAGACACTAATCCTCCAACTCTAACTCTGACTCTGTGTGATGTTAGACAAGTCCCTTTACCTCTCTCAGTCTCAGTTACCCTCATCCATAAAAATGGAGAAAATTATAATATTTACCCAAGAGAGTAACTATAATGATCAAATTATATTCTGTATTTAAATCATTATAGAAATACTGGCTGTAAACCACTATTAGAGGGGATTCCTTTTCAGGTTCAAGTTGCACTAGATGGCCACTGACTTTTGGCAGTTGAATCATCAAAGCGGTTTTCTCAAGACACTTAATTTGAAGGATGTTTTTCTTTTTATCCCTTTTACAAAAGGGGTAGGAGGAAATCAAGGCCAACTGCTCATCTGTCATCTCTAAAGGGAGGGAGAGAGAGTGAAGACTGGGAGAGAAAGGCTCATCCTAACTCAAGACTGGCTGGTTCCTTCCTCCTAGAGAGCTACTTCTTTTTTAATTATTTCTTCTTTTAAATTTTTAAATTTTATTAATTTCTTTTGATTTATCAACAATCACTTCCATATGCTTTTGAGTTTAACATTTTTCTCCCCCTTCCTCCCCACCACCCTCCCCAAGATGGCGCACGATCTGATATAGGTGATACATTTACGTTCCTATTAAATATATTTTCATATTAGTGGTGTTGTAAGTAGAAATCAAAACCAATAGGAGGAACCATCAGAAAGAGGAAACAAAACTCAACAGAAGAGAAAAAATAGCAATTCAACTTTCATAGTTCTTTCTTTGGATGTGGATAGCATTTTCCATCATGAGGCCTCTGCAGATGTCTTAGATCCTTGTATTGCTGGGAAGGCTTAAGTTTATCAATATTAGTCATCGCACAACGTGGCTATTATTGTGTTACTGGTTCTGCTCACTTCACTCAGCATCAGGTCATGTACATCTTTCCAGGTTTTTCTGAAGTCAGCCTGTTCATCATTTCTTATAGCACAATAGTATTCCATGACATTCATATACCACAACTTGCTCAGCCATTCCCCAATTGATGGGCATCCTCTCAATTTCCAATTCTTTGCCACCACAAAAAGAGCTGCTATGAATATTTTTGTACACATGGGTCCTTTTCCCATTTGTATGATCTCTTTAGGATATAGCCCTAGAAATGCTATTGCTGGGTGAAAAGGGTATGCACATTTTTATAGCCCTTTGGGCATAGTTCCAAATTGTTCTCTAAAATGGTTGGATCATTTCACAACTCCACCAACGATGCATTAGTGTTCCAGTTTTCCCACATCTTCTCCAACATTTATCATTTTCCTGTTTTGTCATGTTGGCCAATCTGATAGGTGTGATGTGGTACCCCAGAGTTGTTTTGATTTGCATTTCTCTAATCAATAATGATTTAGAGCATTTTTTCATATGACTATAGATGGCTTTAATTTCTTCATCTGAGAACAGTTTGTTCATATCCTTTGACCATTTATCAATTGGGGAATGGCTTGTATTCTTATAAATTTGACTTAATTCTCTATATATTTTAGAAATGAGGCCTTATCAGAGAGACTGGTTGTAAAAATTCTTTCCCAATTTTCTACCTTCCTTCTAATCTTAGTTGCATTGGCTTTGTTTGTGCAAAAACTTTTCAATTTAATGTAATCAAAATTATCCATTTTGCTTTTCATAATGTTCTCTATCTCTTGTTTGGTCATGAATTCTTCTGTTCTCCATAGATCTGATAGGTAAACTATTCCTTGTTCTCCCAGTTTGCTTTAGTATCAGCCTTTATATCTAATCATGAACCCATTTTGACTTTATTTTGGTATATGGTGTGAGATTTTGGTCTATGCCTAGTTTCTGCCATACTCTTTTCCAGTTTTCCCAGCAGTTTTTTTTCAAAGAGTGGGTTCTTATCCCAGAAGCTGGGGTCTTTGGGTTTATCAAATAATAGATTACTATAGTCATTGACTACTGTGTCTTGCATATTTAACCTATTCCACTGATCCACCACTCTATTTCTTAGCCAGTACCAAGCAGTTTTGATGATTGCTGCTTTATAGTACAATTTAAGATCTGTAATTTCTAGGTCACCTTCCCCTGAATTTCTTTTCATTAGTTCCCTTGATATTCTGGACCTTTTGTTCTTCCAAATGGATCTTGTTATTATTTTTTCTAACTCTATAAAATAATTTTTGGTAGTTTGATTGGTATGGCACTGAATAAGTAAATTAGCTTAGGTAGGAATTGTCATTTTTATTATATTAGCTCGGCCTACCCATGAGCGTCTGATGTTTTCCCAATTATTTAGATCTGACTATTTGTATGAAAAGTGTTTTGTAATTGTGTTCATAGAGTTCCTGGGTTTGTTTTGGGAGGTAGACTCCCAAATATTTTATGATATCTACAGTAGAGAACTACTTCTTGAAACAAAGAATAAAATAGATTTTTAAAAATTAGCAAAACTAACCATCATATCAACCAAGTCCAGCATTAATGAAGTGTTCTTCATCTATAATAGCCGAGCTCTGCAAAGAAGACAGAGGGGGACATTCTTTATCTCTCTTCCTTGGGGATGAGCATCTTCATTAGCTTTTGAAAGCATTGAATGTCAGTTCTGTTGTTGGTGTTGGTGGTGGTGGTGGTGTTGTTTTGCTTTCCATTTACATTTCTATATTCATTGTGCATATTGTTTTCTCAGGTCAGCTTCATATCAGTTTAAATGTCTTTCCCCATTTTTCTCTGTTGTCTTATTTTTCATTTCTTGCAACATTGTATTCATGAATCACAACTTGTTTAGCCATTCCTTAATCACTGTGTTTCCATATCCTTATTACTCAAAGAAATGCTGCTAAAATATGTTGGTTTACATGCAACCTTTCTTTTTATCATTGACCTCCTTGAAGCATATACCTAGCAAGAAGACCTCTGGGTCAAAGGGCATAAGTAGCTCATTTTATTTTCTTTCTTAGCACAATTCCAAATTGCTTTCCAGAATGGTTGGATCAAATCATATCTCCACCAACAGAGTCTTTTCACATCCCCTCCTATATTCATTACCACCTGCTTTATAATTTTTGCCAATTTCTTAGATGTCAAGTTAAACCCAAGTTATTACTGATGTTCATTCTCTTGTTATTAGTGATTTGAAACAATTTTTCATATTCTTGCTAATGGTTTGCAATTCTTGTTTTGAGAACTGTTTTTAATGGGTTTTGACCAAGTATCCAATAGGAAGATTATTCATAGAATCAAGTCCATCCTCTAACCTAAGCTTGGCATAGTGGATAAAGCACCAGCCTTGGAGTCAGGAAGATGTGTGTTCAAATCTTGACTCAGACACTTATCACCTGTATAACCCTTGGCAAGTTATTCAACCCCTCTCAGCTATTTACCTTAGCCATAAAATGAAAATAATAATGGCATCTACCTTATGGGGGGGCTATGGGCATCAGAGGAGATTACACACACACACAAACACACAAACAGACACACACATACATACATGCATACAAACATACATACATTTGTAAAGTGCTTTGCAAACCTTGAAGAGTTATAGAAGTTGTATACACATTAGCTATTCTTCTATCATTATCTCATTATTATCATTATTACTACTATTTGGCTACTGCCTGAGCCCCACCTCTCTGCCCAACTCCCATGGTTCCCAACTTCCAGTATTCACAAATTCTGACTACAATAGTTTCGCTGCCATAACGATACTAAATGTGGGGTTTTTGTTTTGTCCCCGATTTCAGTATGCTTCCTGGCACATAGCGGCACTTAATTAGTGCTTTTTGATTGATTGTTTCTATTAGGTAGCAGTGGGACTGGAAGTTATAGCAGAATATCCAAAAGATCCACGTGAGTTCATGTGTGTGACTACTCCTTCCACCAGTGCAAATTGTCACCCTTCCATGCCTCAGCAGAAGGACTTGATGAACTGTACAACGTAAGAAATGCTTCAAGTAAGAGGCTTTCCCAGTTAGCCACACTGCTCTCCCCAAGGCCAAGTAAATGAATTCTGTCGCAGGCTTATGCTCAAAACCTTTCCAACCTGCTAAG